CGCCTGTTGTGACACCTGTAGTCGTCGCTTAAAGTGCCATTTTGGACTACTCCACATTAAGGGTCTAAGTATACATTCCCATTAAGTCTTATATATGGCAAACAATGTTCTATCTATCGGTTGCCACAATAAAATAAAATTCAGTCAGTTATATTTAATAATAATATTAACCCGATGACAAAAGGAAGCAGCTAGGGTCCATGCGATATAAAAATATTAACTTAATATTTTATATGCTTATACTCGTATATAAATGTTCGAAATTATATAAAAAATATTTTGTAAAGTTACTTAATAAGTTAGTTTCGACAATAGCGAATCTATAGTGATATGAAGAAAGAAAATTAAATATATCAAACAGTATTTAATAATAACAAAAATAACTTACTTTAATACCAAAATATTACTGCAGTTGAAATCTTTTGCCTTTACCAAATTTTCTTAATTGCATTTTACAGACATTTCAACGGATACAGATGCCCACCTCAGCATATTTCTGCACATAAGTCTGAATACTTGGAATTCTGCTTACGGATTTGTAGCAATTTCTATTGTTTTCCATTCGTTCTGTCCGAGCACACTAAAATTAAGGTCTCACACACATAGACATACATGTGCTCAAATTCGAATTTACGCTTTTGTCATGCGAATGCATCTGAATCAACCGAATGCACCAGCATCCATTGTTGTCAGTCGTAGTCTAGCAACTACCCTGCAACGTCTGCAAAGATGTTGTGAACCAGATCTGCACTTTAAATTACCATTTTATTCAGTTCCATTATTCTGTTGTGTTGCACTAAAAAACCATGAACAGTGCACACACGTATCAACTGTCAAGTAGTTCAACCATTTTGGATATGACTTAATGAAGAAATGAAAATGTGCATTTATGTCCTTGCATCCAACATTCATCATGATAAGATTTCTTAGTTCATAACAGAGAAGCTGTGAGTTGCTTATGAAAAAAAAAAATGTAACTAAATTTTGACACTCCTAAAAGGGCACAATACTTTCAATAAAAATTTTTGAAATTAAAGCATTATCTACTTTCTAAAGTTCTTATGTACTCATAGCATATGTTATCAATCAATGAAATAATGGAATACTTGCAATAAACATATATATGGTACTGTAATGCGAGAGGAAAAGAGTAGTATAAATTTGAAAGTCAATTTAATCTATAAATCTTTACATAACTTTATATGGTTTGTTTAAACTAGTACATAGCATGTTCATTAATCTGTAAAATAGTATTCCATTTTATTTCCCAATAGCTAAATTAGAAAATATGTGTTTACATAGCAGATGAGTTGGAATTGATTATTTTTGGTCAAGCCTTACCATACAGGAAGCAATAAGTACAGTGAACTTCAGTAAAGCAGGACAACTACGAAGTATATTTTCAATTTTTTATATGTATATATAATTAGTTAATGTACAGTAACTTTACTTAATGAAATGATCTATATTTCCATGATATTTTAATGATAATGTAAAAGAGATATAAAGCAACGCCTTGAAATATAATATATAAACATAAACAGTTAATGCAAAAGTATGACTATAACATCAAACGTTGCTTTAAAGCGTTTATTAAACTTAAGGTTATATTACTAACCACAATATCATCAATATTTATTCTAATTTTTCTTGTAATATTAATGTTACGACTTTATCAAGTTTTATTAACAAATTTACAATAAATCAAACTGTCCAACCACTACATCTTTTAGCGTATTAGTTCCAGATCAGTACGTTGTCATAATGACAATAGAGAACGTTCGGTATTAATTCTAGTTATTGACTCTGCAGCGTTACAAGTACTATGTAAGTTTTGTCCATAGCTCACAGATTTAGATGGTGTCATGAAAAAAAAGTTCCTAGACTGTTTCAATTCGTTAAAAGTATATCAATCTACTTTAAATTGGCAAAGATGCTATTTTCCTAAATGGTTGCTTTTACCCCTAGTAACTTAAGTGCCTAACTATTCTATGTTAGGCTCTTCTAAGACAGTCAATCAAACCTAGGGTAGCGCTTATGAAGAAAGGTAAAAGTAATCAAATCTAACCTAACCTTTTTTTCACTAAAGGTTTGATCTAAAATGAAAACTTGAAAAGTGACAATAATCTTTGTAAAAGAATCTGTAATAAAAAAGTGTCTGGATTCATTTTGAAACTAATGAAAGACCACCTAAGTTTACTAATCGGGGTCTTTACAAGACGTAACACCATAAGTGTTAACACAGTAACAAGATATCCGTATTATCTTAAATTAGTCGTAGATATTGACAGCACAGAATATTCTATTGATTATTAACAAAAATTTGCAACAACTATATTAGGATTATTAGGATTAGGATTAAGGTATGTGTTAAGTTTTTGACCTATTTCAATTTATCAACCATTATGTTCTCTAGTTTCTTTATTTGCTTTTCTATAATATTTTCTGTCATTTTTGCTTTCTAAGTCGTTGCTTTCGATTCTAAGTCGTTTAATTAGTGTCCAATGACTGTCTTATTTTTCAGTCGAATAAAAAGACTATTATAAAGTGTGGGAGTTATAAGCATAAAACCAATAATAAGCTGCCATATAATCTTATCTAAACTTCAATATGAATAACTACCTACTTTCAGGAACCTTAAATAGTTATCACGTTTCAAAGAACTGTAAATTAACTGGCATGATTCACATTAAGGGCCTCGGTTCGAGTTGAGTGTTAACATCTGTAAATGTAGAAACTTATTTTGTTATATGCAGTATTCGTCCTTGCATCAATATATTATTACATGTCCATTATAAGCTTAATAGAGTCCATATCTAAATGTATGTTTTGAATAATCAGCTTGCTCTCAATTATTAAGAGCTTAATATTTATTTTTTAAATGTTAAAATCAATTATCATATCAAAAATTTTTCTAACTGGTATTAATTTTATTAAATCTGTATTTAGATAGACAAATATTATTATTTGAAACTGCAACAAAAACAGAAGTCTATATTATCAATTTCTATGTCAAAATGTGTAAATATGTAATTTTATGTTATTGAACTAAACTTGGGTATTACATACACGTATTGCAATTTTACGATTTAATGTCGAGCAGTGGTAAAAATTAAAGCAACAAATCCTTTAGCAACTTTCAGTTCAATTGCCGTGAGTAACGACTGTTGTTGTTTTATTAAATTTAAAATTATTTAAATTTATTTATTTTTCAAATGCATACAACTGCAGACACATTTGCCGACACAAACATCGTAGTTGGACATATCCGTAGTTTACAGGATGTCTGACATTTTTGCAGTATAGAATTTTCAATGCAGCCACTGACTCAGGGTTACTACTGCCTTTGTACTACGACTACTAGTACAACATCAACTACAAAATGTTGACAATGATGGTGATTTTCTAATTCAATTATTATTCAAATCATATAATTTCATTTTCAAGTTTTTTAAATTCACCCACAAGCTAGACAACAGACAGGCTGACAACAGACGAGATTATGAATGATTGTGAAAAACCTGAATTTTATTACTTTATTCAGATAAATTCATAGTCCTTACGTACATATAATAATGTACAAGTTGAAGGATTTTATTTTTTTTTGTGGCACAACCAAAAATTTAAACATTATTTTATGATTAAAAATATTTTTGAGTAATTTGAAATCAGTATTTTTTTTTATTATTATTTTTTTCTATAAATATGAATTTCAATCCAAATACATAATATGTTTTCATTTCTTCTAATTAGTATTCATTCCGCATAAACCGAAGATAATTCAGTTAGATATCCTTCCGTTATACAATTTGATGTATATTTGTTCGATGTAATGTATTCCAATTGTGTGGTTAGATGATTGTCGTATAAATCTAAGATTTGGATTTAATTCTTAGCTCACATTATATTCATCTCAAATTTAATAGTACCTTCTGTTAAAGCAACTGCATCCTGCTGTGTGTATTCGTTCTTTCATCGTTTGATTTCTTTTATATACTTAACTTAATATATTATCACTTTAGAGAATAGTTCATTTAAGTATTTTCCGTATAGAATATGGGCAATATTTTAATATCATCACTTCAAAGAATAGTTCATTTTATTATTTTCTATATACAATCTGTATTAACAATTTATTTCATTTTATTTACTTTTTTTGAATAAAACAATTTACACATAACAATAAGTAATCTTTAACTAAACGATACTTAATAAGTAACTGAAAATTGTTGTGGTGATTTAAAACTATGTCGTTGTTGTCACAACACGGACTATTTCAGTAAACCCGTCTTCCCTTCATAGCTATTACTGTCATCTATCTATCTATCTATCTATCTATCTATCTATCTATCTATCTATCTATCTATCTATCTATCTATCTATCTATCTATCTATCTATCTATCTATCCATCTATCTATCCATCTATCTATCTATCTATCTATCTATCTATCTATCTATCTATCTATCTATCTATCTATCTATCTATCTATCTATCTATCTATCTAACTATCTATCTATCTATATATCTTATCTATCTATCTGTCTATCTATCTATCTATCTATCTATATATCTATCTATCTATATATCTATCTATTGTAGGATGTATTGTAGGAATTTAACTTTCAAAGTTTTGGTGTCATATAATCAGTGGTTGATCCCAGATCAGATTTGACCAATTCAGAATCACTTTTTTGGGTTCTATCGAAAATTGTATAGTATCAATAGTTGGTTGCTTTTCCACTAGTTTTACGTAAATGATGAAACAATGCATTGAGCCATTTTTGACGTGCACGAACAAACAATCTTATCCAATTTTAGTATCAATTTTAGTATATTTAACAACATTCAATTTAGTGATCTCGTTCTTCCATAATTATAAGAAAACTATATTTAAAACTATATTTAAAAAAAATAGTTATATATATATATACTTCATTAAATAATTTTTTAATTAATAATTTTTCTAAAATTCTATTCTATATTATTCTAATTTTGTTCTTTCAGTTGGACCTGCAATTACAGGATGAAGCTGGTGGCGATATTTCTAGTTTTATAACGAATGGCGAGTGGGATTTATTAGGTAAAAAACCAAGTGATCCAATTACTTACAAAATAAATAAATGAACCATCCGTATGAAGTATAATAATTTAATTTCATCTATGACTTTTCTTTTACAAAATAATGTTTACATCTTCTAATGCATAATTTACAATTTTTGCATTAAATTTTGCATTTAATTATAGGTGTGCCTGGTAAACGAAATGAAATCTACTATAATTGCTGCCCAGAACCTTATATTGACATAACATTCGCCATTTTAATACGACGAAAAACTTTGTACTATTTTTTTAATTTAATTGTGCCGTGTGTACTGATTGCCTCAATGGCATTGCTAGGTTTTACACTGCCACCAGATTCTGGTGAAAAACTTTCGCTTGGTAAGTTCGTTCTACAGTAGCAAACACAATTGCATGGTGTGATGAAAAGTATTGCCAGATAAACAAAAGTAATTTGAAACTAAAAAGTAGTTGAAATTAAACTGAAATTGAGTCAATTCATTTCTAATCTTTCGTCCGCCTGCTCTTTATCTTTATCTTTAACCTAACTATCAAATCTTACTTTGAGAATTGCTGAATTCGCGCTAAGTCTCTATAAGCCTCGCTCTGTCTAATATTGATGTAAAATGCATGTAGTATTATTAGTTGTTTTTGTTTTTCTTTTATGAAATGTAGTATGTCACACACTAACTGTTGAATCCTTAATGAATCCAATTAAAATAGTTAAATAATTGTAGCTTAAAATTCCTTTGTCTCACGAACTCCCTAGAAGAATATTGCAGTGGTAAATAAGTAAAGTAAACTTTTCATTAAAATTTTGTTTGTTAATAAATCTTAATATACCAACAAAAAAAGCACAAAAAATGAAAAATATATTTTTTAGAAAATAGTAGCATTGTCAAAACATCTTGTTTGTCTCAGTGGAAATGTAACTTAAATGCTGCAAGCAAATTTCAGCAAAGTGAATGCAAAGATAAACAAAATCAACATCAGTTCTAATCAAAGGCGACAGTAAACTGAACTGAAATAACGAGAAATAAGGTCTCTCATCAGAATTACAACAAATGAAAAATACACATTAAAATAAACAAAGCTTCAAACAACAACAAAAAACAACAACAAACAACAATTAGAACCTTGACCTACAGGGTATCTGCAGAATGTTAAAACTTTTAATTCCCTGCCATGTGAATTTAGTTTGCGGTACAAAAGGAATTTTTTTAAAAATTCCGCCTAAACAAAATAAACAGTCATCAAAGTATTAAAAAGCACCTATAATGTTTTCTTACGCAAAAGCACAAATGACGTAGCACATGCAACACTAACCTGGAATACACAAGGCAGTAGCACCCGAAGACGACCAAGCAATTCTTGGCATAGAACCATAAACAAAGAAACGAATAAATCGATATTTGATATGAGATAGCCTAAGTTAGGCTAAGTTTATATAATCAAATATTGTACAGAACAAGCAATAATAATAATAATAATAATGCTTTCTTAAGATATGAGTATTGCTATAGATAATAAAAACTGCTTGTGAAAGTCAAAGAGGAGATATATACTGTGTGATGCACGATATATTTTAAAGTAGAACTGTTCTTTATAGTTAAAGTGACTTTAGTTGGCAGCATAGCGATTACTTGAATTAAATAGATAATATATTAATCTTCATGTTCTACGCTATACGTCTTGAGTTTCTAAGATAGGAACTAAGTGAGTTCAATTGGCGTCATACCGATTGCTTGCAAAAAATAGATAATGTACTCATTTAAACTGCAGTTTCTTCTCTACATGCCTTGAATTTTGAGATATGAATTAACATCAAAATTAATATAAGATTATTACATATATTTAACAATGCTATGGAACAAAAATGTAAAGAACTGTGGCTTCAAATTCACAATAACACAAAGTCATCTTTTTTTCGAGGAAGTCATATATGGAAAAATACCACAGAATCCAGTCCAAAAATCAGACTTTTATAAACCAATGCCTATGAAGAATTTTACGCTTCTAGTTACCTCAGAGAATATACAATATCGAATTGTGAGGTCGGACTAGCCAAACTAAAAGAAATTCATAAAAGCAGTTAAGGCTAAATAGGACACATTCTATGAACATCAAATAGCAATATTGCTTGAGAAGCACTAAGTTGGAGTCAACAAAGTTATAGGTAACTCAAGGCACTGGTTATACATGCCCTGAAGAAGAATAGTGGTATGCTAATTACAGGATACAAATTATAAATGGAACAACAACGTTATTATTAACTTAATAAAATTGAATTTAAATTTGAAATACCTGGGTGGAAGGCATCCAATACATACATATATGTATGAAACAATGCCATCTCTTTCACATATTTTTTTTGTCCTCTTCCATCTTTCTTAAAAAAATCTATTTCATTTAAATTATCTTTCAAATTATTCTACTGATTTTCAATTCATTATTTTTATTCCTATACCTAGTTTCTTAATTAAAATATATATTGCAATATATATATAGTCTCCACGTTCTCAAAATCACCCACACCGCGTGTAGGGTGCATTTAAGAGAATTTGTAGAAAACATTTTAAATATTTGCAAATAACTACAAAACTAAAATAAAATAAAATAAAATAAAAATGATTTCGAGCAGTGAAAAAACTTTCTTACCAACACACAAGGATGCTTATAATAAAAGTGAAAATATGCAAAAGGACATATTTAATGTTGATTTTATATTTTTTTTTCTTTCATATACGAAATATGCAACAATATTTTATATAAAATATTATTTAAATTTTATGTAGGGTCTGTGTATCCCTAGCAAAAATAAAATAAAAGAAGTATAAAATATGGTAAATAGAACTAAATAAATATAAATAAAAAAGCAAACAGAACTTTAAAAACAAAAGAACGTAAAAAGTACAAATCAAACAGAAAAAGAAACAAAGTAATGCATATTTAAGGACACGTATCCTATCTAAATGCCGCATTAAAAGCAAACTCAAGGAAACTTTTAACTCTTTTAGTGCATTTGTGGTATTATCCTTGTAATGCATCGCGGTTGTACGCTGATGTGCAACAGCAAATAGTGCAGTTGGCAGCAGATACCGCAAGCTGCAATGGGCAGTAAATTTCTTGCATCATTAATCATTCTAAATATTGCAGTATTTTTTCATTACCTTTTAAAAGCATCGAAAGTCATCAACGGCTCTGTTGATTTGTGCAAAATCTTTTGTATGTATCCTTTTATCCTTTTCCGAAGTATCGTCTCACTGCAACCATACGTAGCACTTCTCTCCATTTATATATATACTTAAACAATATATTCGTAGAGTAAGTAAAGCAAATGACATGGCAGTTTAGGAGAATGTTCGGTTATGTGGTGACAGCTCAAATAAATAATAACAGCAATTTATTTCTTTTGTTTTCTCATTAAGACTTTTGTTGAAAATAATTTCGCAATTAATTTTCAATGATGTTTTGCTCATTAAGATTTTAGTTTCGCTTAAAATTGATTGCCATTAAATTTTATATAAATTATTTTGCTAATATTTGAGTATAAATCTAGCTTTATATTAACTCTCATATTATCTTTCATATGTAACTAAGATACATATCTGTTGATAAAAAAAAGTTAATAGTACTCAATATTATGAGAGTATTCAGTCTATATTAATGTCATTTGATCTTTAATAATTAATATATTCTAAATTACCACTTTTCTTAATGATTTCTGGTCGCATTTATTACTCATATATAATCATCAGTGACTATACAGTCCATGTAGAACCTAAGCCTGTTCAAAAACAGTCTTCCATTCTTCTCTGTTTTTTGCTTTTATTTTCCAATTACTTATGTTTATTTTTTGTAAGTCCTGCTGCACACTATTTGTCAATCGTTTTCTTCGTCACCATTTTCGTCTACTGGTTCCTACTTCGTTCGCATAAATCTTAGGCGGTACTCTTACATTCGGTATTCTTATCACATATCCAACCCATCTTAATCGCTGCTTTGTCATAAATTGGTTGATTGTATCACCTTCAGCTAGCCGTTCTAGCTCGTGGTTGTATCTTATGCGTTACATGCCATTTACTTTTACGGGGCAAAAATTTTGCTGAGTATTTTCCCTATCTTACTTGCTTCAGTTATTACTCATATATAGTATTTAATATTAACCATACTTTTTTTTTGGCACTTAAACTTAAGACGTAAAAATTTTCTATATTCTCCTATACAGTTAAATTACTTACCACAATTTTTATTACTGATGTATCGCTCTTATTCTAATTATTTTGTTTCGCAAGTCTTGCTTCCTGAAGCTATTAATAATGCAGCTCCCGTAATACAAATGCATGATGATACCATAATTTTCAATCCCTGGTAAAAATAATTGTTATACTAAATCAATAAATGATACTTTACAGAAGAAAATCAAATATCCTCATCTCAATATATTGTATCGTGTATCGTATCATAGATGAGCTGTGGATACGACGATTACATCTTCTGTTCTACATAGTAAGAATTCTTACCATCCTTATCTGTCTTTACCCTAAGTCCAAAGTCGCCATAGCTATTAACTAATTGATGACTTTTATTGATTTCCTATCGCTATTACTTGGTGACCAATAGTCATATTGTGTTTTTTTGTTACTGTTAAATTTTTGTAGACTAGTAGATAGTGACTTATTTATTAATTAATGCAAAGAAAAATATTACACTGCGATCTATGAGATAGGTCACAATGTAATCTATTAGATGTGTTGAATTATGATATATTGATATAGAGATTTTGTCCCTAAAGACAATTAGATAAGTTATCTTACACAATTCAAGTTTATTAATAAAACTAACAGTATAGCATTGATCAAGACCTTACACCTGGTTGGATTTAATGAATAGGATTGTACTTTTTGTTTGGTGATCACCAGTCATGAATAGATACATATTTTACAAAATCTGCAGGTATCGGTGTATTTAGTCACATCTTTGAACACTGAAAATAAAAATTTCACATCTACTCAAGATTCGAGTATCTAATCTATATCCAGAGATTGAAAACCTCTTGTTTTGATACAAATGATCTAATTGGGTTGCTTTAGGTCTTTGTAATTGGCACAGTTTATAACGTGCTATTTCTGAGTACCGATAGAGTGTAACGATAATTGGATACGTCAGATCTATGGATTTGATTCAGACCTTCTTACAATATTTATAAATCGCTGTTTCTTAGTACTTATATATACTTCTTAGTCTCTCATATGACCTAATTGGATTATGTTAGTTTTTTATTATTTGCTTAGGCCTTCTCTCTCTCTCTCTCTCTCTATCTCTCTCTTTCTCTCTTTCTCCCTCTCTCTCTCTCTCATTCTCTGTTCCTTATGTCTTCTCACACAATTTTTTTACTGTCAAATATCTCTTGATGAAGTATCCAGACAAGTTATATGTCAACTCAGATATGAGCTTTAATCCCACTTAATTTTGGTCGTCCAAGATTAAACAGATTTTGAGACGAGCAGTGGTATTAATGCAACATTTCAATGATTATCTTGTCCATTGTAGTATCCTGTCGATATACGATTTTTTCCGACACACTCTGTTAACTTAAACTTAAATGACTGATCATAGTATTCAACTCTTTTAGGAATGTGTTCAACACATGTTTCATGTTTATTACTTTGCCAGTTCATAGTTTTTGGTTAAAACTATTTCTGCCAAAATTTCAATATACTCGTAAATATCGCATCCATACATATTAAAGTTGGGTTTAATAGTAGTGCAACAGCAGCGATGTCAAAGTGTCAGCAGTAGATTCGAATTGTTATTCCGTTATTCCGCTTAATGCAGTTCGGTAGCTGTGAGAAGCGCAAGCGTTTTGTGGATGCGTTTCGCATCTTAGAAAAGAAGTCAAAACTCATGTAACTCATGTAAAAGTTTACATGTAAAACGAAAATAAAGCCAATAAGCGAGTGCATTAGCTGCAGGAAAACAACTGAAACAAAAAACAAGATGTTTTCAAGGAGTTTATGCGTCAATTTGTGTGTGACTTTTAACAGGAAAAGTTCTGTAAAAGAACTGGGAACTTTATACTCAAATGCTAATAAGAAACTAAAATAAAAGATGCAACGACGAACTTTCTTAAGAGAATATTACACTGCGACTTCAGCTGAGTTGAATTTAATATGAACTTATTTATGCTCGTAGATGAAAGCGAAAACTTAAAACAAAAAAATTATTTCGCAAAATTTACTTTCAAAGTATTTTTACTTGAATAAAAAATTTTGTTAAGCTTCACGCCAAAATAAACTGCAATATTCTTTCACTTTGTCGGGACAGAAATTCAAAAAAATGTAAATTTTATTTTTTTTGAGAGCAAAATAGCAACAAACCTTCAAAAATTATTTGATTGATATGATTTCAAAGAGTATCTAACAGCAGTTAACAACTAAAGCAGGCAAAAAGTCAGTTGAAAGTCAGTGAAGTGTTAGGAGCAAAAAATCCTCACAACAGTGCGCCCAACTTTGCTGGTTTGGACGCACTCATGTACTGGTACTGAGCACACTGAGCATACTGAGGTTCAGCGCAGAAAATATGGTAGTAGTTTTTTATTTGACAACTGAAATGACAGTGCTGACAGTATAAATTGTATCAAAACGTGCACGAGGCGAAAGGTGAGAGAAAAACTTTCCAAATTATTAAAAAAGAAAACTTTATTTATGAAAAAAATAAGCTAAAGAGTCTCAAAGGTATCTTAAAGGTATACAATTTTCAAAATATTTTTTGTTACTAAATTCCAAGTATCTGCACAGTATTTTCAGTGTTTTTATATGTTTTCTGTAGTATTTGCAGTTATGATGTGTTTGAATTCTAACTATTTTATAATAATGCATTTACTTTTCTATAAGTTTTTGTGGGTAATTTTACTTTATAGGAGTTACAATTCTACTATCGCTAACAGTCTTCCTTAATATGGTGGCCGAAACCATGCCAGCCACATCGGATGCAGTTCCACTACTAGGTATGTTACACACAACTCATTTTAATACCATACACTATTTTGTTTTCTTGTAATATTATTATAATATTTTTAAAAAAAAAGTGTATAAGGGTTTTAGGTTTTTGGAATTATTCATAAATGCTGCACAACAAATAGAAGAGAAAAATTTCATAATAAAAATAGATAGGGAGGTTATTTATTCAATTAAATAAATTTGTTGTGTATAAAATTAACAATGCATTTCTTTAAATATATAATTGATACCATTAACTAAATAAACATTACTAATAACTTAAGTAAAATTATAAACAAAATTTTTTTTGGAAAACTAAATATAAAAATAAAAATTATTTTTGATTTTATGTATAAATAATATAATTTAGTTAAGCCGTTCATTTATTTTATATTATGATTTTAAGTTAATTATGTAATATTTTTTTAATATTAAATTAAATAAAAATAATTAAAATGACTCATACAAAATAATATATAATATTTTGAGTAATATAATATTATATTAAGTATAGTATATATGACTTAACATTAACTTAGAACTACAAAAAGTATTTTTTATGTTGTAAGTAACTTATAATAATTAAAAACATATTTTTTTAATATAAATATTATTAATTAACTAAAATTAATTCATTATTATATCAAATTATATAAACTGAACTTTTTTTGTTTTTGCATAATGTATAACACAAGTATAAGTATATACAAAATTAATTTACATAAGTATAAAAATTATTAAATGTATAAATTTAATATATGTGTATATGTATATATTTTATAAAAATTTTAAATTACCCACCACAACAATAATAATTTATTTTAAAATACATATATAATCAATTAAGCAAAATTAATTAATTATTAAAAATTAAATTAAAATCGTTAGCAATCTATTTTGTTTTCAAATAACCCGCAATAAAATATAATATTTATAATCAATTAAATTAAATCAAATAATTAAATTATAAAATAAATAGTTAACATAGAATGAACGTAATATTTACTAAATTACATATATAATGAACCAAATAAACATAATTAATTTATAATTGATATTTAAAAATTAATAATAATTAATTACTAAATTAATAATATTTAGTATGTATGTAATCAATTAAATTCAATTATATTTTATTGAATATGTATGTAGTGTTAATTGAATAAATTCTAAAAATGTTTAAAAATTAAACTGAATTCAAAAATTATTGTATAGTTAGAAACTATAACAATAAAATTAAATATATTTAAAAGTATTTTAAAATATTACCTTAGTCTTAATTACTCTTAAATTAATTTATATTATATGCAATTAGTTTTCTAAATTTATCTTGTTTTAAATCAACAAAATATTTTATTTTAAGTTTTTGTAATATTTTATTGAAAATATATTTTAAAATACTATGTACTATAAGCATCTAATAGTTTTAATCTGTACAAAACTTAATAATTAATTCATTTAAATACAAAAAATCAAATTAAAATATTTCAAATTTGCTATACCAAAAGAAAAATTTAAAAATTTAAATAATAAAATAATTTAATATTATTATTTTGAAATATAATATTACATAATAATATTTACTTACAGTATAATATTATATTATTTAAATTTTAATACAATTTTTTATTTGAGGTGAAATAATTTAATATTCGACACATTTAAAATATTATTAGTTAATTATTAAAGCTTTTCAAATATTAAACTATTAAACAGAAGCTATTAATTTTATTATGTATATATATTATTATTATTTATAATTAATAATTATTATTATTCATAATATCATCTAAGCAACTTCAATTCACAATTAACTATAATATAGTAAATAAATAAGAATTATAAACTTAATAAATATATATAAATCTTTTAGTCATATATATAAATTATTGTATAAATAACAATAAGTTATTTATATGTAAAACCAATTTTGTTTTGTGAATTATATTCTACCTAATTACAATTTTTTTCTATAAAAAGAAATTTATTATAAGAGCATAAAAAATTTATTTCTTAATTTTTTTTAAATTTTCTTTTATTTTGTGTACAATAAACACAATATAATATAATATCCTATCCAATATGTTATTTAAATTATTTCTCACTAATTAACATTAAACATACTTCATGAGTATTAAATTAAAAACATCTGTACTTATGTTGGCTAATCTAAAAAAAAATATTATTTCACTAAATTCAGGTAAGATAATATCAATTCAAAAATGTCCATTATTATTTTAATATCACTTTAATTAACCGTAGCAAATTATATCAATTTCACATAATTTTGACAATGTAGTCATTTTTTATTAGTTTAGCAAAAAGAAATAGCATCACATTTTTTTGGTGGCGTTCAAATATTAATAATAAATTAAGTATTATTAAAAAAATCCTTAAATTCACTACCAAAACAATTCTACTAAAATAAACTATAAAAAAAAATATTTAATTTTTATTTTAATTTAAGATAAAATTTTAATTTTATAATACATTATGATAATTTCGTTTTTATTATTATACTTTTTGATGGTATTTTTATGTGATTTAAATTTTAATAGAGTTGGTCATTTTTATATAATGTGTTATTTTAATAAGTTTTTAATTAAAATTATTTATTATTTTTTAACAGATTAGGGAATTTATTTATATGTATAAATATTTTGTGTATGAAATTGTTCCTTTAATTGTCCTGAAATTATAATTTTATTGAAAAATGTAAAGAACACTATTAAGTATTTTTGAACACTGAATACTGCACTCCATGATAACTTTAATTATAAAATTAGGAAAATTTAAAATAATATACAAATTAAAATGATTATTGGCAACACATTAATAATTTAAAAATACAAATATTTTAAATTTATTATTATTTAAATTTATTATAAAATTTTAACAATACTGCACTTGATACTAACATTAATAATATTAAAATAAATTGTAATAATAGTACAAAATAATAAGTGATATAAGCATAAATAAAAGAGTATAATTTTAATATTGATTTAAGATATCTATTACTTATTATTAATATTTTTTAGATTAATTAACCAAATTTCTTATATATTCACATTTAGGTTCTTAACTGAAACAAAGCTTTCTGATATATATCAAAAATATTTTTGAATGTTTATATTATTATTATTAGGAGAGACCATAGTACCGGGACGTTAATGCCTATTCTGAGTACCTTTCACGAACTCAGAGTGTGTCTCTAAGTGATATTTCATCAATCAATAATAGTATATATCTCTTTCACCAAGTTTAAATTCCTCATTCAATGAAATGTATTCACTTAAAAGTTTTTTTGCACATCAGAATTGGACATTTTCAAACACCTCTTTCACAGTCTTCTCTTTTTTGTGAAAAACCCGAAAAATTCTGTTTGAGACAATTCTCAGTTTAGCTGAGTTCAACTCGCAGTTTTCTTATAGATTTCCTTATACAATTCACAAATTGTTCTTCATTCAGTTTAAACAATCCGTATATCGACTTAGCTAATTGGTTCTCATAAGCGTTGTGGAATGTGAAAAACCAGTTGATTGTCCTAGTATGTAAAAATTTAGCTCTTCTTTGCAAATATATGGAAATCCATAAATAAATTTAATAACTGGATTAGAAAAACGTTTTGAACAGAAAAAAATGTTATTAATTATTTTCTCTCAATTATTCTGAATTTCTTTTATATATATTTTTGTATTATATCTACATTTGATCGATTTGTTGGTGTTTTAGCTGGAACTTTGGTGTTGTTATTTTTTTTTTCATTTTTTTGCTTTTTGGTGTTGTTAAGTGGAACTTTGGTATTGTCCACTATTACCTATTCTATGCAATATATTTCGTCTAAGTCGAGTATTCGTGCGAAAAGTTCACTTTACAATATTTAAAAACTTTACAAAATAAGGTTGACGATTATGTTTTATTTCATATCTTTAGGACTATTTTTTACTTCCTTAAAAAATTAATAAAAGCCTCATAGCCGAATTTTTCACTAAATTACTTTGAAAAATAAGCATATAACTTAAAATTTGTGCTCATTTTGAAATTAACTGAGTTTTTGCTCATTTCAAACAATGTGTGAGAATTGGTAACAGCGGAAACTCATTATGGGAGCGTTATTAAAAAACTTTTTGTTTCAACTCCAACTTTTATTATTTTCATTCATTCATACATTCATTCATACAAGCATACAAACATAAGGATATGCAATAACAAGAATGTTCAGCGGAAGATTAAAAGTTTATCTCGCTTTTTACGAGATTTACTTGTTTCAACACAAAAACATAAAAGTTCTAATCAGATGACGTTGCGAAATAAATGATTTTGTATCTCACAAAAACAACGAATGGCTCACACAAATGCATATGTACTATATGTACAAAAAATTTTAACCTCATCAACACAAAATTAACAAATTACACACAAGGCGCATTAAGCCAAACAAAGTATCTGAGCTGTGATATCATAAAACAGATATTACAGATATTTTGAGGTGAAAAGTCTGTATTTATTTGAATACTGAAAAAAAGGACGATGAGTCTGCAAATAATCTTCAACTGCTACATCTATATACCATATAAGTGGTTGGAGTGGTGTAACCAGATTATCGGACATGGTACCATAATCTCTCTGCAGTTCCAAATTAACCTAACCACCATGATCTACGTTACATCCTACCAGAATGGGCGTATTTAGGTTATGG